TTCATGAGAATTCCACAGAAGTCATTCAATGTTGGGCTTCACAAGTAATAGGAGATAATCAAACCATTTTGTAAATTAATATGTAGGATGTGTCTGAAGAATTTTATAAATATATGCAAATTTGCATTTCAGTGCAAACAAATTTGCATTTCTGTTACTCAGAATGAAATAGGATTTACTTTAGAATTTCCTTGAGCAGTGTGAGACTGAAGTTACTGAACATTGTAATGGTATCTACACTAGGTACAGTACTCAGACCTGTTCAGTTGCTAAAGCTTCTTTCAAGACATGAGGAACTTAGGAGTTGTTACACCTGAAGTTATCAACATTTTCTCAAAGTTACAATTTTGGTCCCTTGATTAAAGCTAAGCCCACTTATGTTACCACAGCAAACATTTCCTATGCCTTAAAAATACATGGTAGCATCTTCAGATGATAACCCTGTCTGCTGATTCAATGAGTTAAATGTCTATGTGTGTTATACCACACTTCAACAGAGCAAGGGAGATTGGACGGGTACACCATTTCATGACCCTGCAAGTCCAGAGCATCTGTAATTTAAGGCTTAAATGGACATCCTTTGCTTGTTCAAGTCCTGTATCAGGCAGTTGGCTGTCCAAGGACTTAGGAGAAATAAAAAACTTAGATGGGGCTAGGGCAGTGAGTATTCTGATAGATCAGTCACTGGAAGAGCCCTGTGTAACACACACAAACACGAGAGAGAGAGAGAGAGAGAGAGAGAGAGAGAGAGAGAGAGAGAGATCCTATAATTATACCTATAAGGTTTTCCAGGACATGATAAGCTCTGTAATCATGGCATATTAAAAAGATCAGCACAATCAGCTCTCTAATAGAGGTACCCAAACATCGGAGAAGGTAACAGCAAAATCATTTCCCAAGCTTTCCTAGTTACAGATGGTAGATGATAGTCTTTGTTGCCATGTTGAGAATCTTCACATAGATGTTGTGGATTAGGGAATGAAAATGTTGCCTTGTTAAAAAGACTTATGGGAAATAACACCCCTCCCCAGGTTTAATGTCATTGCTAATGACAAGAGGGAAAGATTGGGGTGTAATTATAAATTGGTTAATCATCTTGAGTGCAGTTAGTGAATACCCCAAATCAACAATGCTTTTGGAATTTTTTCTTTTTTTAGATAGAGTTTTGAAATAATGCTACTGTTAGGTCTGCAGCTCTAGGATTAATGGAGACAAATGTGTTTCATTTGGCATAGCTTGGAGAGATGCCCACATGTAATGAGCCACACATTTCCCATTATTGCAATGCATTGACTTGCATTTTTTAAAACAAACCTGTAGACTCTGAAGTTTATTGCTCCTCTTTCTTATTTTAAAACCCCTCGGAGGCCGACTATCTCATTAGTCCTATAAACCCAAAATTCAATCAGATGAAGTTTAATCGATAGGGCAAAACAAGGTGTGTATCTGGCAGAAAGGACAATACGTGTCCTCAAGCAGCTCTGAGGCTTAATAAAAAGAAAAAAAGTCAAATGTTACCATTAGCCTACATTAGGCTTGCCCTAACCAATAACCTGCATATTTGGATATGAATTATAGCTTCCAGGAAATATCTTTTTACAAAGACTAGCGCAGAATTGCTAAATGAGAAAGGTCAGCTTGTTCAAGTGGCATGACTTTAAATTTCTGGTTGATTATCTATAGTGGAGTAGATTAACAACTGCATTGGAGTTACAAAGTTTTACTCTAATTCCCTGGTATAAATCTGTTTTTTTGTAGGTCAGCCTTCCCCAATTTGATGCTCTCCAGTTATTTTGGGCTACAATTCCCATTAGCCCTAGGTACGGCCAATGGTTAGGGTGGAAGGAGTTGTAACTAAAACATCTGAAGGACACCAGGTTGGGGGAGTCTGAAATAGGTTATTCAACAAACCTGACACTTAGGAAGATGAACTCCTGATGGTGATACAACTGAAGCCAGGAGAAAGCTTGCCACTGACAATATTATTGCAGAGCAGGCTTCAGCCCTGAAAAGTTTACAGTTCAGATAGACCAAGAAGTTTGACGTTATGTGTGAAATGAGACAGGGAGAAGAAATCAAAGATGATTTCTATATCATATCTCTATCATTCTGCATGAATGCTATAGGCTGTCAGTTGAGTATTTGTAACATAAAATGGTTCCTTCAGTTGCATAGACTCCACAGGTTGTTTCCAATTAAGTTCTACACAGAGTAGACCCATTGAAATAAATGGACCTTATTAATGGACATTATGAACTTTCAGTGGGTCTGCTTTGAGTATGACTAGTGTTGGATGCAATCTAGTAAGTCTATTCCATCAGCCCACTGAGGACTGCCTTGCTAATAGAAGTACAGAATGTACCCAGCAAAACATTGGTACTTCTGTAAGAAAACCCTGCTCACACAATGCACTTCAGGTGGGTAACATGCAATTTAAAGTTGTTTTTTCATCACTTTGTTGCCCACATATTGGGGGAAATCTGAATTAAATGAGGGCAAAGTGTGGGCTGCCACTTGAATGAGGACATTGTGTGGGAAATGTGAAAAACATGCACGCAGGTGATGTCTCATAGCCACTTTAAACTGTCATTCGTACAAAGCCTCAATACCAGTAGTTGGGAAACAATGGTGGGAGGGAACTATTGTCTTCATGTTTAGTTTCTAGCCCTATAGACATCTGGTTGACCACTGGGAAAGAAGACAATATAGGCCGGTGGCTTGATCCAGCACAGTTCTCTTATACTGATCATTTATGAAACTGTGGACCCATAGGTATTGTGTGTTTACTTGGAAGCCCCACTGCATTCAATGTGAGTAAGGGTTAAACTATATTAAAGGCATGTTTGAATCCCATGCTTGAGAGTCCCCACAGTATTTTCTTTAGAAAAAAGAAAAGCAGTTGCATTGCCCCCTTATCTGACTGCAACCACAATATAGTAGAGGGTGGGAGTTCATATTTTCCCCTTGCTATTTGCCTGCTGAAACTCATATCCAAGGCTACCGTTTGTGCTTGCAGCCACTTGGGAGGCAAATAGCAGCATGTGAGACAGTTCAGTAGAAAAATGGATTGGGGGTAAGGGTCAATACCCATGCAAACTAGACCAGATTGAGGTGCCCATAGCTACTTTTTAAAAATACAGAAATAGATGTGGAGATCCTAAACCTAAGATTCTAACACAAATTAACATGTAGCTTGATGCTTTTTAGCAGGTAAAGATGGCACTACTAATCATGTCTGCATCCTGTCTCATATTAATATTCTTGTATGATTCAATTGAGTTCTTTACATTAATGTTTTTAAATAGTGGGTCAGATTTTGTTAAAACATTCAGTGTGCTTTTTGGTTATATTACAGCCAAATCAGAAGTTGTGCCAACTTCTGATTTATTAAGGCATTGTGCCACCTTCCTTTTGCCCACTAAATTGAAAGTTCACAAGACAGGGTTCCAATCCTTTTAAAACAGAAGACAATTGTTTAATTAGTGGAATATTCAGTACTTAATTACAGTAGACAATTAAAGCCAATTAAATTTTGGCAGCCTCTTCACATAAGCGTAAATGGGTCTTTCTGTGATAGATTATGACATGGGAACCCAAGATACAAAATGAAAATACTTCATACATCAGCACTTTGTAATTTGGCAGCGAAGTATGACCCCAAAGTTACTAGCCATTGTGAACTGTTTGCCTTAAAACAATGTTTTACTCTTTTTTTTTCTAATAACCATCACTTTATTAATGCAGCAAAATGAGTACTCCCAAGACATGTGCAAATGGATCTGCATTGCCGGAGAAAATAGTCCTCTCTGTTGAGGGCGTGCACCTGTGCTTTGCAAGAGGAGCTCTGAAGAGAGGCAATAACCTTTCACCAAGGAGGAGACATGGGTTGTGGGTTTTGCAGATAGGACATCACTACAGCCGAGATAGACAACATGAAGCTGCTCATCATCTGTTTGGTATCTTCTGAACTCCGAGAGTTGGCAAAGCTGATGAATGAACAGTAGACAGCAATCCAGGCACACCACTTTAGCTTCAGCATCAAACCACACATACTGAAAATCATTCCCAGTAGATTCATGTAGTCTGGTGTGGGGTCTTCCAGGGTAGGGTTATTCTCTGTGGATGGAGGTTTGTATCTGAGAACGCGATTTGGCCGCCGCGGGTCCATTACGTTGTTACCGGCCATCGTGCACCGCCTTTGGCTAACTCCGAGCGGCGCCCCCCCCATGTTTTACTCTTTTCACATATTCTATTTTTTAAAAAAGTATAGCATATGCATGTATATAGCTATACTTGGAATGAACTTTGGCTGGAATGAAGATTAAGTTGTTCAATAAGTTAAATGCTTCAAATCAGGCTAAGAACTCTGACTGAATTAACAAATGAAGGATCACCACTTGGTGATGAGAAGGACTCCAGGAGACATTTCAGTCCGTCTATAAACATTTGATTCCATAAGCAGCAGGTGGCAGCACGGAGCCCCTACTCTTATTTCAGTCAGTATCGCCCATCTGTAACTACTCACAGAAATATATACAGTACTGGGCTTCCACTCACACAGGAGAGCTTTTCAAACCCCCTGAAATGTCATCTCCTCTTAAGGTTGGGGGTCCAAAGCAGTATTCTGAGAGGTGTGAGACACTGCCACCTCCCCATATGCATTCAGATACATAGTGGAGTTTGAATCCTGACCATTTATAACAACGATGAAAGCTGTCTTTTAAATTTATTTATTTAATGAGAATGAGCCTTAATATGCAATGTTACACTGGCTCTGTGCAATTAAAAGCAACGTATACATGAGAAAATGCATTTATACAATATACTGTAAAATCATTTCAAAATGTGCACTGCAACATTTATTACCACATATATCAATCAAAATTAGACACATATGAGACTTACATGTGATACAAAAGGAAAGAATATCACAATGCAGACAACTTTTTTTTTAAAAAAACCACTTTTTCAGATGAAACAAACCTTATTAATGGAAGTTTTAAAACAGGTAAAAATCAACTAGGTTGTCTATTCCACATCTTCTGAACAAAGTCTTTTGCAATTTGATTTTTTTTTATACAATCACATGGCCTTGCTTTTACAGCTGTGGAAAAATAAAATACATAATATAACTATGTTGTCATGCTCTTTGCAATTTAGAACTATCATAAAGATATGGTGGCAAAGAGAAAAAAATCTTCAAAAGTTGAGTAAAACAATCAAAATAACAACTAATTAGGCAGTGCCAAGAATGTTTTGTGTGTTTTGTACTACCCCTAAGCCAACACTATTTCTAAACATATTCTCATATAGCCATACAATGCTTCACATTGCATAATACATACACAAAAACTGCAGCTTACAAAAAGCAAAGAGAGTTTAAGAGTTAAAGCACAGGTAACCCAATTCCAATATAGCTCATGAGCCTCTGAGGGTGAGAGGGCTCATCTGCACCATACTCTAGCCCTCTGGTTTGGTTGCTGTTCCCACATATTCTGGGATAACCAGCCTCACATAAATCTAATTAAAACATGAAGTGATTAATGCCATAGACATAGAGTAAGCTCTCCTGTCAGGTTTAGCTAGGCCACTCCTCCTTACATTGGGAGGAGGGTAATCAAAACTTTTGTTCCCCTTCAGTCTACCTGAGAAGCTCAAATTGTGAAGAGGTTTTGAGCTGGTTGCTGCAACTCAGACTACATGGCTCTTACAAACCATTTTTGTGTTCCTATGCCAATAATTTCACCACTGTAACTAATGCAAGTTTTACTGCCTTTGTTTTCTGGTTGATGCATGGAAATGCACATAAAACTGACCTTTAGAGAATTTGTAAGTAAACCATTTTTAAACTTACTGAACGTGGGGTCTTTTTCTAAGCTAGAGGAAGATGGGAACTTTGGAAGGAACTTAGAAAGTCATATTTTAAAGGTCTAATAGCTTATATTTCCATGTTTTACTTTGCTGCATATTTTGTGATTTTAAACTTCTGCTGGGGTTCTCTCACCAAAGAATAGTTGCCCCAACCTTAGATCTTGACACCCAGGAATTCTCCTTTTGTATATCTATATTTTCCTTATAACGAACACATATTGTTTTACAAGGATCACACATGTGTCTACTTTTGTTTTGCATTTTGTGTAACATTGCCATTTTGAATATCCTGCCCATGGCTTTGTGTAAGCAACCCAGATCCCTCCCTGCCCCCCACCCCGAACCTCTGACCATGAACTTTCCAGTGGAAAGAAGGTAAATTCATGGGCTGCACAGGGGGCTTTTTTGTATTTCTGGGCTTTTGTCATATTAGATTTATTTGCACATCTGCGTAGAGATGGGTCTTTGCACTCTAACAAAAGAAAAGTACTAGAAATGCTTGAAAACAAGGAAATACAATTCTTGGCTTGTGGTAAGAAGTGCAAAATAGCTGAGAAGCACCATATAAGTAGAAATCTAGTAACAAATAAAAAAACCTTATGTGATATTTATTTCATCAATAGCTATGATCATTGGAAGGGTTATAATAAAAGAAAGTACAATTTAGTGCTTACATACCAGTTTTTTCTTTCTTTCATCTCTAAATACTTATTCTAGTTTGATAGCTTACTGGTTCTTAGTTTCTTTGGCTTTGAGTAACTCACTTGTTTTTCCTGCCAACATGTTAAAGCATTAAAGCAAATTACATTTACAATTAAGAAAATCAAAATACTTTGAACTGAGTTGCATTCAGCCAAGAGCTACCCTAACAAATGTCATTCCTACCTATTACATATTTTTATGTTGAAATGTTGAAGTAATGAGCATACTACATGTGACTTGCAAAATATCTAAGATATCATTCTAAACGTTTTGATTAACTTAAAATCAAAACCAGCCACATTGTTTTAGGCCATGGAATTGAAAGGTTTTACTATAAACAAGCAAATATTTCAGTCAAAATTACCACGTAAAGGAGAATCAGAATATGGGACTGAGAAGTATGAATGATAGTCTAGAATAAATTAATTTGCTTAAAAAAACAAAACACCTCCTATAAACATTTCTGAATAAGACCTTGTTTTTAATGTGGTGCTTTCCATTATCTGTTTTATGTATGAGTCAATATGGCAAATTTCCCTCTCCTTGTTCTTACACTAAAATGCCTATAAATGCTATTACTAAACCTTTAACTGCTGTCTTTTTCCACTTCTGTTTGATGCAGATGCCAAGTGTGTTTCCATCTTTGACAAAATCTGAATTGAGTTTGTATCTTTGCAATGGGATGACTTGTTTGTCTTAGGTATCTTAAAAAAAACCAAAAACATTATTCCGCCATTAATTTACAATCATACATGGTTACAAATGTCCTTGGAAATGGAACTTTAAAAAATACGTATAGTGTGATGTGTCTTATCATTACAGTACATTCTGTGGAATACTTTTAATCTTTTTTACTGTTAATTTTAATTCTTTTTACTTGTTTTTAACTGCTCTTATCATATTTCTTGTAAACCACTCCAAGTTTTACTACAAAGTGGTGTTGTATATAAATTTTGTTAAAATAAATAAAAGGAATGAGAAGAAAACTGGAAAGAAAGCAGTTTACATGTTCAATGCTAGCCCTGAGTATAAGAAGGTTTTGAATTTTACAGAACTCCACTGAAAGTCTGATCATGCCATTTAATATACATGTACGTTTTGTAATACATTTAATTCTCTTTTAAGAGTGTCATGCTAATGTCAAAGACAATATGAGCTGACCTCGCTTTGCCATCTAAGGAAACAAGTGGTCAAAATGTACCGGTAATCTATGCGGTGCAACCCAATAATACTCTTACTGAAGTTAATGAAAAAATGTTATTCATTTGTCTGGTAGAAAAAGACCAGCATCAAAATAAATGAAAAGGATATTCTCACTTACCCTTCAAAAAGCACATAGTGAAAAACTCCCAGGCACTTTCTCATCTAGGCACTGATCAGGTTGAGGCCTTAGTTTTAACCATGCGGTATCAGTACGGTGTTCAAATTATTTTCTAAGGCAGAAGTAGCTAAACTGTGTTGCCCTCCAGATGTTATTGACTCCAACTCACATCATCCCAGCAAGCATAGGTAACAGTCAAGGATGATGTGGGTTGTGCTCTAGAAACATCTGGAGGACCACAAGTTTCACATCCTTTTCTAAGGACACATCTGCACAGATTTGTTTTATTTTCTGTTGGGCTCAGCAGCGCTAATTAAGCCCATATGATTCCCACAGGCCATACAGCATGCACACACAGCCTGAGCTAAGCACCTGATATTCAGATAGGGAAGGAAGGTATTTGTAAGAAACTGCTGGCTAAGCAGGGGTGGCACAATCAATACCTAAGACATATACCTGAAATTTGACACAAAATGAACCCCCCCTTCTTTCTATGCTGTCTTTGTATGAATCAGCAGGATGAGGAAACTCCTACGCTGAAATGGATTAAATACCTTTATTACTTGGTATACCTGTAGGCAGTTGCCCTGCAGATGATGACTAGAAGTCTTAATGGTATCTTGCTGGGATATTCCTAGTGATTCTTTGTGATCTCCTTGTTTGGCCCTACTGTGTACTGAGCTGCATAAACTGTAAGCATTCATTTTCTCTTCTTCAGCTGAGCTTTGTATTTGATTGTGAAATATTCTGGGATTTCCCTCATCCACATCTGAGTGAGACATGCAGGGATGGGATTTCTTTGACTCGGTGGTCAGGGTATTCTGGCTTGTTCTGAAATTTGAAGGTGTATTCAGATGCTGGTGGACAACTGATACATGATGCACTGCAAAGTCACTAGGTGATTTCAAAGAGGAATTTAGTCTTATGGATTTGAATTTACTTGAATCCCTGTCTAAAACTCCTCCATTAGCTAAAGCATAATTTGCCAAGTGTCCATAATTCTCATTTTTCTCTTTTAATGCAAGTTTACTAGACTTAACATTGGCTTTTCCAGTCTGTATCCGAAGAGCACTTCCGTTTGTAATATTTTTTAATGATGCATCACGTAACAATTTGTTAACTTGATCTGTACTAGGCTTGAATACAGCCAATTTAGCAGCTGTGTTCATTACTTTAGAAGCATTCTGCCTTTTCTTTTCATGGGTGGCCTTTGTGGTCTGCTTATCCATCTGCAACAGCTTTCCTTTAAAGATGGGTATGATTCTGGTAGAATAATTTCTTAAAGTATTATTTGACGTTTTAAAAGATACTTTTGAGTTTAGCATTCCTGCAGATTCTTCTGAAGTTTTTTCTTGTTTCCTACTATACACTTTTCTCCCTGGCGCCTCAATGTTCTTGTCTTCTGCTAGTAAACTGAGATTAGTAAAAATATCTGTTTTCGGTTGGTTGGCTTTAAGCTCCATCTTGTGGCTATTTTCTATAGCACATGCTGAAGAACTGAGCATGCCTTTTTTTGGAATTACTGGTACTTGAGTCAAAGTTACCTTGCAGTTCCTTTTTCCAGTGAGATTGGCTGGTTTGGAGCTAACTTTCTAAAAACCGAGAAACCACAGAGTAATTTGAAATACATTATGTACCATTAACAGGTTTTGTATACAACAATTTTTGGGGAAAATCTGAATTACTTGGGACGGGAAGTGTGGGCTGCTACTTGAATGAGAACATCATGCGGATGAAGTAAAAAAACAAGCAAGCATGCAAGGCATCAAAACAAATAAACTACATAGTTTAAGACTGCTGGGTGCCCTGTCATGTTGGGGGAGGGTGCCATATAAATAGCACAATGATTAGTTTCTGAAGTTCTTACTAGTTTTCCCACAAATCAGTGGAAAACTGCTCATAATAATCAGAGATCCTAACTAGGAAGACCTGGAATCATTTTAGGCACATAACTATTTGCAGTTATCATGCCAGCAACAAGAGCAACCATCACATCTCTGGTTGTCACAGTAAAAATTATGTGGGCTGCTTTGGTTTCCACGTGACTGCTGTGTCTGCTTTAGTTCTTCACCCTCTTACTTCAGCCACTTCATATATTATCCCACTGTTATAAGAGCAGAAAGAGGTGGCTTCTATGTGCCACAATGGCAAAAACCAAAGTACAGTAGCTGTCTTCCAAAGTTTCTAAAACTATTCCCAAGATCCATTAACAATACATCCAGGAATTTCAACAGGAATATTTAAATAGCCTTTACCTGTACAGATGATTGGGTAAGATCTTTGGTGGCATATAATGCTTTACTTATCATTTTAACAGGAAGCCCACAAATGTGTGGAATGACAGTCTTCAGATCAGCAGCAAAAGCACTTAGAACACCTTCTAAATCTACTCTAGGAAAGTACTGCACTGGCTGACTTCGTATGCAACTGAAAGGATATCTGAGTTGGTGTTAAGGACTGAAAGAAATTGTTTGAGAAATATACATAGAGAAGTTGTTGCTTCATTCCTTGTGCAATGTGTATGATAAAAACAGGGGGTACAATCTCCTGCACAAGGTCTACTGAAATGAATGGAAGCAGCACACAAGTGCCCCTTTCCAGCTCCTGTTTATTGCAACAAGGCTTTCACTGGGAAATTTTCCTTGATTAAGGCCATGCTATATCTGCACCTTGGGGACGCGGGTAGTGCTGTGGGTAAAAGCCTCAGCGCCTAGGGCTTGCCGATCGAAAGGTCGGCAGTTTGAATCCCCGTGGCGGGGTGCGCTCCCGTTGCTCGGTCCCAGCGCCTGCCAACCTAGCAGTTCGAAAGCACTCCCGGGTGCAAGTAGATAAATAGGGACCGCTTACTAGCGGGAAGGTAAACGGCGTTTCCGTGTGCGGCTCTGGCTCGCCAGAGCAGCGATGACTCGCTGGCCACGTGACCTGGAAGTGTCTCCGGACAGTGCTGGCTCCCGGCCTTTTGAGTGAGATGGGCGCACAACCCTAGAGTCTGTCAAGACTGGCCCGTACGGGCAGGGGTACCTTTACCTTTACCTATATCTGCACCTTAGCAAGAATTGTGAAGAATGGGATCATTTGGCAGTTAGCACCACTGGCGCTGAAAAGTGTGTGCAGACTGCAAAAGGGCAAACACATAACTGTTGACAATGACCATTTAAACTTCCATAACAATTGATGTAATTGATGCATCTGTGGTAGCAACTGATGCATCTGTGCTGATTCAACTTAAAACTGAAATGGAGCACAAATAAAGTGAAGACAATTTGAATCAAGATTTAACAAAACAAAATAAGTTATGTTCATATGTATTTCAGTTATCTAAAGAATAGTGGTTCTAGTTCATGCAGTGCTCTGCAGCTGCTGCGATTCTACATAGAACATCACAGTGCAGCACAAAGAATTCTGTTTCTGAAAAACCCACCCTGTACTTACTTTAAAAAATAAATTTTGGGCCATTATGCTTTTTTCAAGCATGTTTTTACAACTATATAGATTCTGCCTGCTGAAATATCAGAAGCTGGGTAAAATGTTCTAATAGTCGGGATAATACTTCAATGTCCTTCATACCTCCTTCTCCCTCCCAATGAAGATAAAAATCAGGATAAATGATTCAAAACAAGAAAAATATATATCTAAATTTGTACAGAATTTAGGTCACAGGATTTAGCTTTTTGGTGTAGAATTTTGATTGTGTGTTTATGTGATCATTTAAAAAATGATTTATAACTCAAAGAAGATGAAATTATGTGTATTCAGAGTGGTGATAACTATTATTTGCAGTTAACAAATGCTGAATGGGAAATAGCCTTTTATGTTCTCACTAAAATCAGAGACTTTAAAAGGGCTTACGTTATGTCACTTTCATTTACTATGGAACTACTTGATAATTTTAACTACTGAGCTTGATTATCTTATGAAACTTTGTGTATAGCAGGTTTGGCCCATAATCTTAGGTAGGTGCCAAAAAAGAGAAACAAATTAATACATAAATATAAAGTTTATAAAAGATATGTGAAGAGTTGCTCCCCTATCAGTTTGAAGTAAACGTTGCAATAAATCCCAGGATCCTCCGGAAGAATATAGCCATACTGAAGAAAATATATATACATAAATACAAGGAGGTTAAGAACTTGCTATATAAAATAGTCAACATTGAACAAATTATGTATTTGCATTCACTTACCAGATTTTCCCAGTGCAGCTGCAAATCACTATATGACTGGAATGGAGTATCGGGTGGAATTATGTGGCTAATGCTTATGATCTGACCCATTTTCATGCTGTGCAGAAGTAAGGAAAGAAAACTAAAAAATAATAATTCCATGCCATATAATGAGATAGAAAACATAGTTACTTTCATGACACATATGAATTGTGCTGGATGATCCTACAGTCCACCCACACCAGTGAGTGATTTACAGCATTGTAACTTAACTTGGCTAGTGAAACAATTTGCCTGTTTTACAGGAAGTAGATCAGAAACTGAACTGTCACTCTTTGTTTATAATTTAACAGTAAAATTTTATCTGCTACAAAGCTGTGACATTTTCGACAGTCTCTCATACAGAAAAAGCTGGTAACGCAAATTTATCTGCAGATATCACTTACAGTTTGATACAGGGAAAACAGATAGAATAAATTTTCCTATGGAAATGTGTAAAGATTAAAAATAGTATGCAATAAAAATAAAAATATAGACTTTGAAAAATTCCTTCTTAAAAAAAATAATGAATATGCCAATTGAATTTGTATGAACACTTATGAAAAGTCGACATTGGTCATGAAATGTTTTTTCTCCTTGAGTAATCAATTTCCAAACTAGTCATAATTACTAATACATATTGCAGGAGATGTGTTGTTCATCTCATTAGCATTTCTTGTTGAAATATAAAAACATACCTTGGCAAAACATAGCACCAGTTACTTAAAATAGAGTATTTTTGAATGATAGCATTATTATCACTGTCAAATTTCTTTAAGATGTTTGCTGAAATATTAAATTCTTCAAGCTGAGAATAGAAAAAAAATCAATAAAGTAATTTTTCAAAGTATCTGTAAACATATACGGCAAGTAAGTATTATGCATTAAAATAATTAAGGTACCATAAAAACCTATACGGCATTCATCTACTTATTATGAAATCAAAACTTCATGAGTACATTGGCTTATAACCAACACAGCACTAAGCAACAATCTCACCAGTACAAATATTTCTCTTTGCAGAATGGGACTCCCCATCCTGCACACTCACTAAATCTGTTCTGCAGATTCCCCAACCCTCTGGAGCAGATTTGGAGAAGGTGTAGGGTAAGGAAGGGGAAAGTGCCATGAATAATAAATAAACCCCCAATAGGATGCAGACTTGCAGGCCTAGTTAAAATGCAAGTAGAAAACATTGATTTACTCCTGTACCTCAGGTGGCGGCAGACGTACTGTGAAAACTTCGACACTAATGCAGAGCTGAGTCTCTGATACATTGATGTCCATAACTAAAATAAAATTTGTAATATTCAGATAATTATGTCTTTTCACCACATGTACATATAGGCAAGGGGACGTGGGTGGCGCTGTGGGTTAAACCACAGAGCCTACGACTTGCTGATCAGAAGGTTGGCGGCTTAGTCATGCTGGCCACATGACCCAGAAGCTGTATGCCGGCTCCCTTGGCCAATAAAGCGAGATGAGCGCCGCAACACCAGAGTCGGCCACGACTGGACCAAATGGTCAGGGGTCCCTTTACCTTTACATATAGGCAAAAACATTGTGCTTAATTTTAAACAAAGTTTCCAACCAACAATGTACACTATAAAGGTAAGGTAAAGGTACCCCTGCCCGTACGGGCTAGTCTTGCCAGACTCTAGGGTTGTGCGCCCATCTCACTCTATAGGCCGTGGGCCAGCGCTGTCCGGAGACACTTCCGGGTCACGTGGCCAGCGTGACATCGCTGCTCTGGCGAGCCAGAGCCGCACACGGAAACGCCGTTTACCTTCCCGCTTGTAAGCGGTCCCTATTTATCTACTTGCACCCGGGGGTGCTTTCGAACTGCTAGGTTGGCAGGCGCTGGGACCGAACGACGGGAGCGCACCCCTGCCGCAGGGATTCGAACCGCCGACCTTTCGATCGGCAAGCCCTAGGCGCTGAGGCTTTTACCCACAGCGCCACCCGCGTCCCTAATGTACACTATAGGAAACTGGCAAATCCAAGAGCTTAAGCACACAGAAAATAGCCATCCCACCTTCTCTGTGTAGCCCTAGCACTTTTCCTGGCAAAAGGGTTGTTTGCAACAGCTACAAGGGAATTTGAGTTATAAGGGGATTTGAACCCTTGCTTGAGGAAAACCATAGTGCTTATGGTTCCAGACATGAATTGTTGATCTCCTAAAGGTGACAGAATTAGTAGCAGTGGAGGAGCACTCTAGGTTTTTTCTGGTAGTGTACTTGTGCCTTGTGTTGGGGAGTGACATAATATAGGCATTCCTATCATCACTGCATGTTGACAACTGCCCTTCATGCACACGCTATGTGCAGTCAAGTATATGCATAATCTGCCTTCATGATGACTGATGTACCAGGCTTTTAAAGATACATGATAGGATTCACCTAATAAAACCCATCAGCAAGGGCTTCAGTGTGCCCAATGGGGCTTTCTCCCCTCCTCGGCCCCCCAAAATTGGCTCGGGGTGTTGTGTCGAGAGAACCCCCAGTGTGTGGTGGGAGAGGAGAGGGATTGTTCCACCTGGCAAGCTGATATGCTTGTGCAGTGTGAACATTTGTAACAGCCTGACATAGCATTCCACCAAAAGATATCTTCATCAGGTTCCAACAAAGCAAACATAGTAGAGGTTCAGCTGGTGATCCTCTGTACCTGCATTTGATGCACAAATGATTCCATTATTTTTCAACCACACTGACATGAGTACACATACCACCAAAATAATTTCAGGTCCTGAGAGGGCAACATATATTTTCTTCAATCAATATTGTACTTACCAACTGCATTTTGCTTTCCCCTTTGTGACAGAAAATCTTTCCCTTAACAAATGGAATTGGTACATATTATAAAACAAATATGCCTGCTGCCTTTATAAAGCCTTTACAAATCAGTATTTTGGAAAGGATCTGGTTTCTCCCGTCCAAGGCTGCCTCAAAATAGATTCCTTATGCAGTATGAAGCTTGGGTTCTCAAACATTTCACCCCCAGGGTCCACTTGAGATGACTAGAAGTTACTGAGACCCACAAGACACAGAATGGTGGTGCAGGGACAAAGCCAGAAAGAAAATGGTGCTCAATGGAAGCAGAGTTTGACATAATCCGTTGGCAATGATGGATATCATTTCCCACTGATATCTAATCCATTTTAGGAAATTCTTTGTCACAGCATTTTCCTTGTGACAAGGAGTTCCATAACTTAGCTTTCCCCAAGCTAAGCACAGACACTTGATCTGGAGGTACTATGTCTCAACATCCCAATTTTAGACAGAATTCGCTGATCCAGAGTGTCTAATAAATCAGGGGTTGTCAAACCTTTTGGATCAAGGGTCACATTCTTTTATTTTCAGAGAGGGCTGAGGGCACCAGTCACAAAAGCTTTTATCTCACTCTTTAATTACCTTCAGCACCTCCTCTGGTCCTTTGGGGGGTGGGAACTATCCTTACCTTTTCTCTGTCTCCTGGCCATCTTTATTTAGCATACAAGGAGTTGGTGCAGGCATTGGTCCCACCAAAAGGCTATGGCATGGCTAGGGAGTGGGGCAGGCAATTGAGGAGGCACTGGCTAGACTGTGCAATTGAGCCCCACTGAATGAAAAACACAGTATCTCGAATGGAGTCGTGACAATTCAAACAAGCTGACAAACTTGTCTAGGCTTTTCTTACATAGGATTTTATATGGAAGTGAATATGTTTTATTTCTCAGAGTTGTGCTTTATCTTCTTTGAACCTGTAAATGCACAACTGTCATGTTAAATACCATTTGGCAGGAGTTCCGGTAGTGAACAAGCAGTGTGTGGTCTGATGAAATATGAACAAAAATTCTTGTTCTAGTCATGCTATGCAGTTTAGCTCAGTGCTATTCAGTCAGTGTCCCATGGGACCTTTATTCCTTTTTCTCAACTCTCCCAAACTAGTTAGTACTGGGGAGGTGACTGCCCAGATCAGAAGGAATATGCAAATATGCAGGGTAAGCATTTTCTAAAGTAACACTTAAAATTTCCTTAGGGTCACTTGACCAAAGAAGATCTAAAGCTAGCAAATTGGCAATGTATGCAGAAAAGAGCAAATATATAACACTACATAGGACTGTGATTGTCAAAGGTTCAGAATAAATACCTTGTATCAAGAGATGACCAGCTTGGTTCCAATTAGGAGCAAGTTTGGCTATAAGTGTATAGGACAGGCAGGTTTGAAAGACAGCTGGAACAACTCTCTCTGGCATTGCCATCTAGTGTGATAAACCAAAAAACAATAAAAAATACATGCTTTCTCTTTCAAAATATGCTATTCATAGAGCATACTGACACTATATGAAGTTGATTGATCCATGCAGCGAAGTACATTCCACTCTGTCTAGCCGCAGCTCTTCCTTACCAAAGGGCCAAACTAAATGGGATGACTAACAATTGCAATTGGCAGTTGTGGGATAGTTTTCTGTTTGGTAAAACAGATGGTTTGAAGGGCAGGATATAGATCAGGACCACAGCGTGCAGAGAGAAGGAATGTAACCCACTGCCTCTGCCATGGTTTTTATCTTGATTGTCTCTACCAGGGAGGGAGAAGCTGTTATTTGTGGGAGGGAAGCCTGCCATTGGCACTATCTTAGGGCAGATAACAGCTGGGCAGGTGACCCATGGTGGGGACAAAGGGTAAAATCTTATCTCCCACAATGTTGGTTCCAATCTGAGTTGTTATCTACTAAACAAAAAAACAATCATTCAGTTCCCAGTGATGTGATTGAAATATCTAGTTTTGCCTTGGAAAGTGCCAACACAGCTTCCCAGTGTGCAGCAAATTACACAAGTTATTTTTCTTGGTTCAACATAATGTAGCAGTGTTGTATATTATTACAATTGTATAACATCTGTGCTAAAAATGAAGTGAAAAAGTAAGCTCTGTACTGAGGTACAGTCCCTCAATAGCTACAAGTTTTCATGTTTTTTAATTTTCCTGGTTGGAGAGGAACGGTGGGAGAAACCAGCTGGGGAACCACCAAGGGAAGAAGACTCAGAGCCCAGAGAGAGGTGGTGGGACAATGATGAGTGGTCAGAGGGAGAAGACTGGGAAGGGGAGGTGTTGGAAGCTGAGGAGGTAACAGGCCTTAGTGAGCTGGGAAAGTGTGTAACAGAGAGAAGTTCTGAATCAGAGGCAGAAGCTGAAGCAGGAGGTGGAAGGAGAGAGGCCAAGAGGCAGAGATGAGTCAGGCTGGTGAAGTGTCATGGGTGTCTCCTCTTGCTGCTGCAACAAGCTCCCTTCCTTCTTGTCTCCCTGAACCAAAGGCAGGAAAAGGGTGGAAGAGCGATGATGCACAAGTCACAGTCTCCAATTGCTTGGAAAACAAACCCTGGAGAAAAGGGGACTTAGACAGCTGTAGGGAGGCAGGGACCTTCAGTATCAGCAACTGCTTCATGGAGACAAGACCTGCTGGAGAAAGGTTGCTGTGCTCACTAGGTCTGACAGTTCTGTGTCAATTGTGTTTTTACTAGTAGAGATAGCTCCAGCTTTCACCATGTGATTTACTACCGGCTCACTCCTGAAATTCGCCCTTTTTCTTTTCACTTTTCCTACTGAAAATTAGTTCTGTATTGACAGATAGAAGGTCAGGGGGCAGAAACATACAAAAACAGTTTTCTGTTGATTTATACTAATAGCAAACTCATTATCCAAGTGTGGATTCTTATACAGCCAAAACAGCAAGCTTGGGTGAACTGGTGAGGCACTGAACTGGTGATTAAAATATAATCAACTATTGTTACTACAGGGAGTCCTAGGTAAACTGCCAACAGCCACTGGACTGGGCATTATAAAGAAAAGTTTTCAAACTTTTCAGAGAGCTAGGTTTTATGGGAGGTATATACATTTAGCAAATAAACAAATCAAATAAGTATATGCAATTGCTAAACAATGTAACCAGGCTTAGAAAAAACATTTTTATTACTTACTATAGATCTGTTTTTCTCTATATAAGCTTGAAATTTTCCTGACTTATAGAAGAGTATCTAAAATAAGCAAAACAAACAAATATATCACAGATAGATACCATTTGGACACATTTAATGAAAATAATCTTACTTTTTTTGAGAAAAATGCAATTGGTCCCATATGTAGAAATGTTGAAATTTTCTCTAAATGACAAAAATCACCACAAAGAAACGATGTTATTTGGTTTGTTCATGACAGTTGTCTGTCTTTAGAATCTTTCTAAACTCTTGTATTTAAGGGAAAGAGAAAAAGGGAAGACACTATGTTTAGTCCCTTTGTGACTTCAGGATAAGACCTTTCCAGAGGGTGGCTGATAAATGCAACTCTGTCAAATGCTACAGTTGTATAACAAGCTTCTATGGACTGGAGAGTAATAGTCTAATCTTAAGATCAAGGTATCAATCACATGAATTCAGCTAATAATCTTTATCTTTGTAAGCATGTACATTTGCAGCCCTGCTAAGGAGCCTCATCACTGGCTTGTTCTCCGGTATAATATGAGATAGAAAGAATTGGGGGTTAATGTCACAGATTTACGGATTTAGGGGAGAGCTACGTTGTTCGGTCCCAGCGCCTGCCAACCTAGCAGTTCGAAAGCACTCCCGGGTGCAAGTAGATAAATAGGGACCGCTTACTAGCGGGAAGGTAAACGGCGTTTCCGTGTGCGGCTCTGGCTCGCCAGATGCAGCTTGTCACGCTGGCCACGTGACCCGGAAGTGTCTCCGGACGGCGCTGGCCCCCGGCCTCTTGAGTGAGATGGGCGCACAACCCTAGAGTCTGTCAAGACTGGCCCGTATGGGCAGGGGTACTGGTTCAGTCACTTTGGGTGCAGAGCTCGGGGTTGTTGCAACTATGATTTAGAATGAAAGGTGAGGGGGGTGGCTTGCTGAATTTTGGCATCACACAGAATGCTGTTGAAATTTGAGACTCCCAGGCCTGAATGTCTCCCAGTTTTTCCTCCTCATTCTTGGCCTCCAACCTAACCAACCATTGTAGCCAGAATGTTTGTTCCTCAGCCATATGATCAACATTTAAATTAAAGATGGGAGGCCTCTCATGCTTTCTGTGGTTGCCTGGAGTCCTATAAGACTTTGGGGTCTTTAGGGAAGAGCCATGTCATTCCAATTGCCAGGGCAACCAGCCTCTATACTTTTCTGCTTGTACAGCTTCACCAGTTCACTGTTGCTTGGCAACTCGGTTTCAGTTCTCCAGATCCTGGATGGGGAGTGGCAGTTTATTCCCTGGGGAAATCTTGTCCTGGCAAACCCTGACTTCATAAGCTCAGACATAAGTGTGCTCAATATCTTGTCCAGGGGATCTTGGACCATCTATACTCTGAATTTATATATAAGTTACCAGAAATATTATTACTGACCGTCATAACCACTGAAATTTGATTCAATGTTCCAGGAACAGGTGAAGAAAGCACATCTTGATGCAGATGCAAGAGTTGCCTAGGTAAAGCATTCAAAACTTGTCACTAACCTCCACGATTCCATACTACTAAATCTACAACCCAAAGTACACTGCACTCTACAATTTTTTTCTTTTAGTCAACATTCTTTAAGATGTTGCTTTACAGTCCTCTAAGTGTCCTCAGAATAACTGGCCATTAACTATGTATATTCTTTAATTCCATGTATCTTACCATAGATATTACCCATGGAAGTGAAGCACAGTTGATCAATTAGCAGAAAACAAAAATCCCAGCAAATGCAATTTCATATGTATGGATGCAATACCCGGTTCTATATGTAAATTCTACTGGCCCATTCTTAAGACCTGATGTGCCAGCAAGCACAGGTCTACGTGGTCTGAGGCTAGGCTACAATTTTTAGAGGGGGACTAAGTCAACAACCTATATGTAAAAACATCAATGCATGCTTTCCCCCCAGCATCATCATTCCCCCTTCCGCCATGTGTCCACTATGAACTTCATTAGGATAGCAAAGGTGCAAAAAATACAATAAACAAATTTCCTTTACCTGCACATCTTCCTTTGTGCTGTTCTAATTTCTGTTGCTGCGAACTGAGAATTCAGTGTAACCTTCACGGCACATAGTTTTCGCAGCTCAGGCAGACTGATGAAAAACAAAGACTGGCAGGTAACGTCATTCATATTGCTTTGCTAGCTACAAGAACTGAGTAACCTCTGACCTATAACAAAGTGGAGGGTGGGAAATGATTATCAGAAAGGGTACATATAAATAAAGGCAAATTAATATAAGAAAGAGGGGGTAGGTGAGAAGAAGTTAGGTTTTTCAGTAGCACGTTACTGGGGGAGGATTACTGTACTGCATTATACAGGGAGCTGCCTCTGAAGACAGTATGGAAACTTATGCTGGTGCAGAATTCGCCGACCAGGTTGATCACCAGGGCAAAACGGTTTGAGCATATCACACCAATACTGGCTCGACTGCACTGGCTGCCATTTAGTTTCGGGCCCAATTCAAAGTACTAGTTTTGACTATAAAGCCTTAAATGGTTCAGGATAGCAATACCTCAAGGATCACCTCTCCCCACATGAACTGACACAGATCCTGTGATGATCATTTGAGGCCCTTCTTTGTGTGCTGCCTTTTCTGTGGTAGTTCTCTATTTGTGCAATGCTCTCAGCAGGAAGGCTCATCTGACACCTTCATTACATAGCTTTAGGCACCAGGCGAAGATGTATTTCTATAACCATGCCTTTGGCTGATTAAACATTCTATGCTCTTTGAAATGTGTGTGTGTGATTGGTTTTTGTTCTCATTTTGTATTTTTATGTTTTAATCTTTGGATGGAGGGCAGTATACAAATTTAATAAATTATCATGATAAATAATAAAATAATGGCATATGGGACTTCTGACTATAGAGCATGGCACATAGTAGAACAGAAAGCAGTTTTGTGGACATCAGTAGTGGCTTCTTTATTCAGTCATATCAAACAGAGCCAGAAGCAGCACGCAAGCTGCTTTTCAGCCCAACTTTTCATTCACCAAACATCATTCTGAAAACTGAATACCCAAATATATGACCAAATAACCCTCAAAATTTAAGTAATTGTATATCACTGGTATTATTTGGTTATGTATTCAAGCTGATTGTAGTGATGACCAGTAAGAAATTAGAACTTTGATTTACTGAGGGGAGTTGATTGTACAGAAAAAAGGAGCTTTGTGTAGTTTAAACTAAATTCAAATTGTTTCCTAAAAACAACTGCCTAGGTACATACTTCTACCTAAAAAACTAATGTGGGAGCGCATCAGAAGTCTGAAGGAAAGCTTTCTCTTGAGGCTGGGGTAGGGAAGACTGTTGAAAATCCCTCATCCTTATTTTACTGTTGACAGTTATGCTATTACGACATGACGACACTAGTAGTTCTACTTTTCTTGCAGTTCTTCCCTTACTTTCCCCCCTTCAGGCCTAACGTTAGCAGAAAGATGAAAAACTTGAAAAACGGGAACTAAATCATGCAACCTTTCTCTTACAGAAGTTGATTTTGGGGCAATCTGTTTATTCCTATATTACTTGTTCACAATATCCAGTGGTGGTTCTTATATGTGAATGGACAATCACAGATATTCCATAATCCTACCAATGGGCATGACCCATGGTGTGGTGACTCAAGACACAACCTTCTTGGTGGCAGCACCTTGACTGGGGAAATACAATGGGCACCGAGGCTGTTAAGTTTCAGATGTCAACTACAAACACTTTTGCTCACTTGAGCTTTAGGGATGATTTTTTTCTTGGTTTTTAACAGCAGCTATTGCGCTGCTGTATAATGTTATGTTTAAAGCCGCACTGCTTGTAATTATTGCAGTTACAGATAGGTAGCCGTAATTATTGCGTACAGCTGGTGTGCTTATTATCACATGGTTCCCTGTCCCGTCAAGAGGAAGGGTGGCATATAAATAAAATGGTAATAATATATTCAGTGATACTCAGTTGTGTCCATTCACACATTCAGCTGCCTGTCACAAAGTGCAGAGAAACTGAGGGATTCAGGTGCGTGTGTGAAGCAGGCCCCTGTGGCTTATGGATGCCTATTGCTGTATGTATGCCACAGTCCTGTTGCCAGCCACCATTTGCCCAGAAAGTCTAGTTTGTCTCTGATGGTCGAGCTGCGAAGAGTTTTGCAGGGCAGCCTTTGAATCTGTTCCAAAGATCTGAGCGTCCTGAGGTGGATCTCTCCTCTTACTGGGAGGGCTACCTCGAAAGACAGAGGGGAAGAGCCCCAGTGAGAAGCCGAGCATAGAAGCCACCTAGCAAGAAAAGCGCGGGAAACGTGAGGGGGGAAGAACGTTACACAGGCAGAGTCCACTGGAAGCGCCCTCTGTGAGGGGAGCAACCCCGATGACAGAAAGTTGGGAGAAAATGGAGTCATGAGGGAGGAGAAGGAGAAGGAACACGATATATGAAGGGGGGGGGGAGTCAGTCGCCTCTTCGACTTTTCTGCTGAGAACAGAAGGAAACCGGCTCCCCGCCTCCTCTTCACAAGCTTCTCAACTTCCCCTCGCAACTCTCCCGCGGGGTTTAGGAGGGAGATAGTGTGAGGGGGGAAATGTGCTTGGGGGGGGTATGCGGAACAAGCCCCCGCTTCTTGCAAGGCAGCCTTGGATGTAGCGTCCAAAGTTCAGGAGAGGCGCCTGGTTCTGCAAAGGGCAACCTTTAGTCCTGGAAGGAGGCGGCGTCGGAATGAGGAACAAAGCAGCCCAGAAGCAATGCGACTTCTCATCTCCTGCAGATAACCTATGCTGTAACATTCCCGGGGCCTGCCTGCCAGGAAGCACAAGTGTTCTTCTCCTTGAATCGAGGACCCTTTCCTTATCTCTTTCTCTCTTTCTCTCTCTGAAGGTCTTCGCAATCGGTTAAAAAAAATAAATACATTCCTTTTTACTGAGCCTCAGATCACATACAGTGCTGGACTTTCAAAGTTCCCTGAGTTCCCTGCTATACTGTGGTGCAATTTTGAGAGGGTTTATTTTGAACAAAGCCCTATTAGCTTATTTCTGCTAGCTCCAGGGGGTGATTTCCTTAATGACCATGGAAGAGAAGCGGAACAAGAATTCTTGTTTGGATCCCAGAAAACTGCACTGTGTATGTATAGAATCCTAGAATTTGTCGAGTTGGAAGGGATCGCAAGGGTCAATCTAGTTCAACCTCCTGCAATGCAGGAATCTAATCTAAAGCATCCATGTAGAAGTGTACAAGATGACATATTACTCCTAAAGTATTATGTATAATATATTTTTCTGTCTCAAGGGGATGGGGACTCACCATTACGGCCACCCAAATTTTAAGAACAACTGGCATTTTGTAATGTGTGAATGCTATAGTAAGCATACAGATCTCTGCGTATTTTAGAAAACCATCTTCCTTTTGGTTTTTCAGCCAAACTTGTTTTTGGTTTTTAAACTAAACACTTGAATGTTTTAGACAGCAATCATATACTGTATCCACTCAACTGGGAATAAGCCCCTTTGAAAACAGTAGACCTATATAGCATTATACTGTTACTGAAGCAGTTTTTAATCCAAAGGAACTTTGTTAGAGACTAATGGAGTTCACATCAGATTTCATACCTGCTCAATTGTGAAATATTGAACAGTTTTGAACTGACATAGTCTTGAATAGGTAAATAAGGCTCTAGAATAGAAAAACTGCCAAGAATCTTGCAGCACATTAAAAACAAATGACTACGATATAAAGTTAGAAACCTTTATAAACTGCAATTTAATTCAATTGCAACTGCTGAAACAGTGCTAGTGAGCAATCTTATGTACAAGAAGCTGGTGTAAAGCAAACTGGTGTAAATTAAGCTGATGTAAATTTATACGAGATCCAAACTCTTCAGCAGCAGGGGTGCTACTGTCTAAAGCCAACCTAAGTCTGGCTGAGGGAAAACAAGTCTTTAAAATAGTGTTTGAGTTATACCATTGCTTCCCAAGTGGACTTAATACATATGTACCTATCAAGAACATAGATTCTCAGGCTTAATACCCTAGGGTATTCAACCACTTCAGATGGTTGCATATTAATGAGGCCCACTAGTTACAAAATGTGGTACTGGGACTGAGCCAGTCAATATGGTGGCAGTTGGAGATAAAATTTGGCATTATATGCTGGCAATTACTTACACTACTGTCAACTGATACCTAATACATCTTTGGAAATTGGTAAATTCTTTGCCATAGTCTTTTTTTTTTTTTTGTAGCAAGGAGTTCCATAGCCCAGCTTTTTTCAGGCTAAGTGCAAACATTTGCTGTGAGGTATTGTGACTCTCCAATTTAGGAAGAATTTGCTGATCCAGAGGCTCTAAATGGATTCTTTTATATTATCTCTTCCTACCTCCACATACCTCTCGGTGTAATTTTTTTTAAAAAAAACACAGCAAATGTCTGGTAATTTATTCTCCCGTTCTCCAATTTGTACCCTATTCTCCCTGCTCCCCAAACCCCACTCTGCAAGTTTCTTTCATCCCTCCTCCCTGGTCCTTTTCACTTCTTTCTCCTATAACAGCTTTCCTCTTTTATCCCTTTCCTTTCTATTCCCACTTTGTTTGTTCATAATAAATATGAACTTCTTATCTCATTTTCTAATTTCCTTCAACATCTCTTCTGGCCCTTTCCCCTCAGAGGAAGCACTTCCTTCCCTTCTTTGTCTCCCTCTACTCAGCATGCTCTTCTTCTTCTTTGGCGATCACTTGTAGCCAAGTAAGATTGTCTTCCATAAATGTAAAGTGTTGCTGGTACTGGCATCAGTCCAATCAAAAGGGCTATGCCAGGGTTAGGGGCAGGGCAGTCTGTGGCACTCAGGCCCACCTGAAAGTGGCCCATGGTGGGTTCCTGGCTGGCTCACTGTTTGAGAAACAGTGATGTAGAGAATCCATATCTTGCAACTCCATAAGGTGTCCAAAGCAGATAACAACTCAACCGCTTCTTACAGGTGCCACATAATACCGGTTCTGCATTTCAAAGAATTCAATCTTTTATTGTTGCAGCAGCTGCACTTGCCTACTGACATCTGGTAGGCACCTCACTGTACTCTTTTAGGCAGTTGCTAAAAGCATTTCAGTTTCAGGAAGCCTGCCCTGGTGTTGATGAGAGTTTGAATCTATTTATTTTCATTCTGTTTGATTCTTCTTTTAATGTTAATGTTTCTTGTTGATGTTATTATTTTGTTTTATCTGTTTTATAAACTGCTTTGAGGGTTGCTTTTACAATCAAGCGTAACAATTTGCTGGGCGAAAGATACCTGCATTGCAGGAGATTGAACTAGATGACCCTCTTGGTCCCTTCTTACTTTAAAATTCTATGATAATTTGTATGAAATAAAATAAACAAAAAAGCAACACTGTAATAAGAAACACGTTTTGTAAGATGCTAAGGGGCTCCTTTTTGTTTTTGTTACATAATTTTTTTGTTTATTGGTTTTTTGTTGTTTGTTATATAAGGCTGAAATCCAGGTAGCAACAGTCTAGTCTTCATTTCGCAGCACTGCGTGACTGGCTCTACTTCCCTATGTCAGCGTGAATGTTGTGCTTTGGTTTCCCCCTTCCTAGCTCTCTTTTTCTATCAGAAAAGAAAGCCGCCGCCTTGAGTTCTTGGAATCTGCGGAAAGGACAAACACATAAACAAACAAACCTACGAGCTTCTTAATTCCCACATCCCAACCAATGGGCAGCCAGCTAGGACAGCTTTCCCCGCCTTCCTCCGAGAAGTGGGCGGTGCTTCGTGATTACGGAGCTGGCGGCGGAAAGGTTCGATCTGCGCGTGCGCGAGGAGGCGAGGCTGTCCTGGGTCAGAGTTCCCAGTTGGAGATCTGCCGCCGCTGCTGCGCCCAAGGGTCAATATCTGCCAGGTTGAGAAGCGAAGCTAAGAGTTGGGGCGATGGCGAAGGTGAATGCTAGCGGCGACAGCAAGCCTGGAAAGGAGCCGTGGCGGGGTTGCTATTATACCCTCGAAGAGATCCAGAAGCACAATCACAGCCAAAGCACCTGGATCATCCTGCACCACCGTGTGTATGACCTCACAAAGTTTCTGGAGGAGGCAAGTATAAGGGGCTGGAAAGGTGGGGCTGCTGAGCTTGCAGGCGATTTCAGTCCTGTCGAAGAGGCGATGGGGGCTGGAGTAGTTCTGCACGATCATGCACGCTGGCAACTTGCTCTCCGCGAAAAGCTCCTCCTCTGGGTGTTTTGAGACGAGGGATAGACAGATAGATGGGGACCGTTCAGAGAGCAAGGAGGTGCTTCTGTTAAAGTGCTTCCTCGTAGGCGTTTTGTTATTTTTGCTGTTCGTCGAAGTGACTTTCTGATCCTGTAGTGCTTTTGAAGATGAGAAAGTTCAGCTCACATAGCACATATTCCATCTGTATCGTTTGTTGCAAAGTAATATTTTATTGTATAGCAACTCAATTTTGTAAGAGACACTATCATTGTGGGATGAGCTAGATTGAACTGGAATAGCTTGGAAAAGCAAGGTTGCCAAATTTATGGCAAGCTTTGCAATGAAACTGTTGTAACCAGATGCTTACAGGCCATTTCTTGCAAGCAATATGACACGGTTCATCCATCAGTTGTTCAAGTATAAAGGGTTGAGTAATGTCGTCTTTCTACTAATTAGCTGATTAGAAACAGCCCACCTTCATTTCACTTTCTCTCTTATTCATCGAGGAGCTGAACTATTGTATATTCTAAGATTCTGTATTTAGAATTTGTGTATCTGTACAGTGCAATTTCTGAAATCCATAATGCTCCTGCTCTCCTACGGTGGGGAGAATCCAAATGCAGACAATGCATTTGTCCTTCTGTTTCTGGGCTGTTAACATTTCCCCCCAATTTTTCCTATATTTTCCTTCCCACTAGAAATAATGGGAGAGAGAAAATGAGCTACACTCCTGAGCACATATAAATTTTGCACAGATTTGGGGGAACCCCAATGGTTTTGGATCTTTTAGCCAGTAGAACCCTTCAAGGTATTGTGGGGGTGGAGAGAGGTGGGCACAAGATCTGTTGTATCTTGAGCCTGTCTTCCCATCACGTGACAGCAGTGGTCCCAATCTGGGCCTCTTCACTACACCAGTCTTGAGAACTGGCATAGCAAGGAGCCCAACATCTGCTCTGACTGGTGTAACCACAAGGGCTGCAGATGTGTCTGCCATCCCATTAAGTCCTGCTGCCGCCACCCACCTGCCTTCTTAGAAAGAAGTATGCTTGGTTGACTAGCCAGAAGTTGTCACTTGTGGAATGTTCACTTATCACAGGGTGGGTTGTTTCTCCAAAGGAGTAAAAGAACATGTTACATCAACTTGGGAGTTGAATTGGAATCCCTTTGCTAGTGCTGTCTCCGCTTTATCACTTTCCTAGCATAGTTATGTTAAGCAAAGGATTCATGTTGGGGCTGCAGTGAAGGATTGTGTCAAGAGTATCTGCAGCACTGCAGTCCTGTACCTCTTGGCAATAAGGGGTTTGGGTGGGTTTTAAATAGCAAGGAGGTCCATTCATCAAACATACAGAACCGTTGCATTGATATACACCAGGGGTTGCCAACTTTTGGGCCTTCAGATGTTGCTGAACAGCAGCTCTGATCATCCTTGGGTGTTGTCTAGGCTGGTTGGAGCTGCTGGGAATTGGAGCCCAATAACATCTGAAGGGCCACAAGTTAGCCACCCTTGACAGAGACCTGCTTGCTAGTTGTAGCTAGGGAAGATGTTAAGGTTCATGCCATACAACTATTACAGCCCCAAAAATGACTGTGAGTCAGGGGATTGGGGAGCTCTTAAGGAAGCTTAGGATCTTTCAGTTGTCACTGTTGATTTAAATTTAATTCTAGAAATAACTGAGCTGCTGTGTGTCATCTGCTGACTGTATTTCTTGGTACACCCATGTGCACTGATAAGAATATGGTTTAAACCTTCTGGCAAACTTTTTGCTAATTTCCGATCTTGTTCTCTGACAGCAATATCTTGGTTTCAATATTGCATGAAAGCCACCGGTGGCTCTTTCGCCTGTGAAATTGATTCTATGTAGCCATTTATTTCATCAGCTTATTCTGAGAAACTGATTGAAGATAGTACGCTATGAAGACACTTTCTCCTTTTTAGATATATTCTCACAAAACTTACTTCAATCACAAAAAAGGGAAAAAGTTGTTTCAAGATTTTTTTTTGCCACAGCTAAACATAATTGCATCCCTCAGACATTGTGTGCAGATAACTTGTGCTAAACATGAGGAAGCTTTTCAGGTTTGGGAAAACTGTAGCAAACTTCCTTTATAGTTTAAATTGTTTACAGTAGTAGGTAAACTATTGGGACCTGTAACAAAATACTGCATTGTTTCTTCACCTTCTGACTGGCATGCTCCTGTTCAGGGTCTCAGCCTGTTCCAGTTCTACCCTTCTCCAGAGCATTATAGGCCAAAGGTCCCCAACATGGCACCCATGGGCACCACAGATGGATCTGCCAGGGCCCACTGCCCCTTCCAGTTTTTTAATTGTTAAGAAAAACAAGGGGTTTTGACTTCTCTTTCGTTACATAATGTGGGGTTCCTTGTTTGGGGTTGTATTTTATGTTTTGGGGTACGTAGGTATTTTGTCCTGTGGAGGGGATTCCAATACCCATTTTTCTTCAGTGAAATGAGTATTTTGTGGTGCCCACAACAGTTTCTTACATTTGAAAATGTGTCCCAATGCTCAAAAATGTTGGGCTCTTCAATGCAAGATCCCTATTCATTCCTTCGCACCTGCTGTTATCAATTTTATTTTACAGCTGGCAGTCAACATTGTGTGTCTACTGACTGAGCTTATTCTCCATAGTTTTTTTTAACATAGTTTTTAAAAATGAAGGGTGAAAACTATTTGGTGTGCTTCTGCCCCCTAAGCATGCTGGCACCTCCTTCTTGTTTCTCATTGGGGCCCTTTTGAGTCCATTCCTTTCAGTGCTCACCACTGAAATTTGCTGTGGAATGATAGTCTAGTTGGGTAGTTGTCCCAAGGCATGTGATAGGCATGTGAGAGCTCCTGTTTTAGTGGGTGGAATACTGTTTCAAGTCTCAAATGTAAATGAGGACAAACTTGTTTGCTCACCCTTTCACCTACCAGGTTGCAATACCAGGAACTCTTCTGACCCCTGTGATCAATAAGCCATCAGCACCAATAATTACAAAATGAGCACCCTTTGGCAAGAACCTAATCTTGACTATTTATGTTTCATATTTGAGTTGAAACTGACCACATTTTGTTTTAATGTCTCTATACTGACAGAAGGGTTGAAGAGTGAAAGGTTGAATTTTTGAAGAAGGAAATCTGGCAGCTGCCCCCACCGCCATTAAAACTTATAGTTAAATATGTGGATAAACTTTTTTCTCTATCATAACTAAGCACATAAAATAATAGGAGAGCAAGAGTCTTAAAAAAGAAACTAAAATGGTCAGACCACCCCCCACCCCATCTCAAATTAGCTATATTTAAAACGTAGTGATATTAACAAATCTTTTCCAAGGATGTTCCCTGGTTAGCCTGTTGCGTAACTTCAGTACCAACACTAGGCAGATTTAATATTGTTAATTGGTCACTGATAACTGGCAGCATCCAGAACAAGCCTCCCAGCTCATTTTTGGGAATGAACAGGATTTAGGGTGTGCTGGGTACAGATAATCTGCATTTAATAGGTATTGTCTTAATCTGCCTTTCTCCCTTCAATTCTACATGTGTTGCAGGAACTCATAGTGCTCTCTTCTGAGTTTGAACTAACTGTAGCACGTGGTTATGTTCAGGTTCTTTGTGCTTTTTATGCACTGTGGTCTGATTTACATGCAAACTTTTTTTTGGGGGGGTGATATTGGATGGGTTGCCCTCCTTTTGAGCAAGGGTTTGGCCTAGATGGCTCCGAAAGTGTTCCCAGATCTAGGATCCCATAATTCTATATAGAGAGTTTGATGTCATTGTATCTGTACACTTGCTTAAAAATAAATATTACATTTTGCCTTTACAGGGTGGGGAACATAGGAAGCTGCCTTACACTGAGCATTAGTCCATTGAAGTCTTGATTGTCCTCACTGAGTGGCAGTGATTTAATTTGGGAGCTTCTTCGTGCAACGCAGATGCTCTACCACTGAGCTTCTGCCATTCCCCAATATCATTCTGCCATGGGATTGGTTTTCTTTCGTTGGATTTAACTGATACGCCACTCTCAAACAGTTCCGACAAAAACTGGGTTCTCCCAGAAGCTTACTTGAGGTTCTTCATTGAGAAAATAGGCATTGGAAGACAACTTCCTTCAGAAAGAACAGTTCCAAATAACTAATCTTGGTCTGCATTGTGTAACCGCAGATGAATGCTTTGTTTTAGGGTGCATCTAGTTTGCATGGGACAGCAACTAGGCATGGTAAGCAAAGGCTTGAGACCTGTGTAAACTGAGACTGTATAGAGTTTCCCACGCTAATGTAGACTTCCAGAATAATCAATATGGAACACAAGGCTTCTTGATAGTATGAACTTTGAAAACCATTGGAGCAAGCATTTTTATTTCAGCTTGCATGCAGAATTCATTTTTAATGATGGCATCTAACAGAATGCTTTAGATCTGTGCAGCTGCAGAGGAAGCCGCTCGGGCGCCTGAGGTGGCGTGCCCAGGGTCGGGGCGAGTCACCCATAGGGGCAGGGTGCATCACAGGGCCTCCAGAGTCTGCCTGCCTCCTCCCACTCAGTTGCCCTACAGCTGGGGGGGGGGAGGCTGCGGGCAGGACCGTGTGGGCAGCGTGGAGTCTCTGTGCACCCAAGCCCTTATGGGTGCGTCTCTCCCAGACATGTGGCTCGGGTGCTTTGCAGGCCTTGCTTAGATTACTGCAATACATATGCAAATTGCTGCCTTAAGGCACTTCAGGCAATACACATGGTTACTCCTAAATAGAGCTACAGTGGTACCTCAGGTTACATACGCTTCAGGTTACATACGCTTCAGGTTACAGACTCCGCTAACTCAGAAATATTACCTCGGGTTAAGAACTTTGCTTCAGGATAAGAACAGAAATCGTGCTCCAGCGGTGCGGCA